ACCGTAACCGAACCCGTATTTTTTTCGGTTCGACACACTGCATACAATAATTCAATAGTTACAAATCATACACATTATTTCAGTACACGAATAAAGCACTTCTTAAATTGAAATAAGTTAGGGTTGAAAATGTCATTATCATTTTATTCCAGATTATTGAAATAGTTTTGCAGTCGACCTGAGGGTGACGTGAAATTAGTATGATTGACATAGACTGTACGCTTATAACGAAAATTTCTGCCGGGTATATGATTGTTAATGTATGAGATTAGAGGGATACTATTGTAATAGAAATGGATGCCTTTGAACACGAATACAAGGTCGCGCGAACATTGTCTTGATGTCAGGTTAGTAATTTGCAATTGTTTAAGTACTTTATATGAGTCTTGTGAAGGAGTCATAAAATGATGAATTCTTGAAATTTTTTCTGTACATGTTCCACATTTTCGGAAGCTGTACATCTGAGGCTATTCCAAATCACAGAGCAGAAGTCATGTTTTGGAAGAACTATGCTTCGATAAAACACAAAAAAATTAGAAAAAAAACTCGAAAAACGCTTACTAACTCTTAAACTATCACATATAAGAAAAAAACGTGAGCTCATAACGTATGACACGTACGCGTTAGAGTTAAGTTTGGAGTCAAGCATCACTCCAAGACCTTTCACAATCGTAACGCGAGTGATCAGCGAATCGTCTCAGTGGTACACAAAATGGGTTGGATTAGTGTTACGCGTAAATTATATTAAAGTTGTTTTTTCATTACTAAGATCAATCCCATTGCCATTTACATCATTGACAGATGGCGTTGTTAACTTCTTGCAGTAGAGCAGAATAATTTCATATCGAAATATTTTATAGATTGAGGTCACCTGCGAACTGCTAGAGATTCGAATGATAAATCAAATCTTGTATATTTTGACAAATATATTAAAAAAAGGGGTCCAAGATTAAAACCTTGGGGTACACCAGATAGTACAAGAAAAAAAGGCTACATTTGTGTAGCCGACACAGTTTTCTCTGGCAGCAAGATAACTTTCAAACCAAAAACAATACTCATCCCTGAGAACAAGCATAAAACGTGTGTGTAACAGTAGCTTATGATTTACACGATCGAATGCCTTGCTACAATCAAAATGCTCTGCGCCCAGTTTGCTCTCGTAAACAAACTCTGGGGGCAACATAATTTAAAAAAAAAACACAGTATTTGTTTCAACAGACCTGCCGATCATGAAACCATGCTGTGCATAACGTATTACGCGCTGAAAGCAATGTCTGATGCTTATGGATAATTTTTTCGGACAGCTTCAAAAATGCGGAGAGCAAGGATATCGGTCTGTAGTATATAACCTTCGTAGAGGTGCTTGATTTAGGGAGAGGAATTACTAAGCCCTCTTTCCAGACAGTTAGAAAAACAGATTGCTTTAGCGACATAAAAATGTGATGTTGAATGGGAGCCAGTATATCCACACATCCCTTAACTATGAAATTCGGTATGTCATCAAGGCCACATGCTTTTTTCTTAACGGGAGCTGATGAATTGTCCATACAACGTCGGCAAGGCTAATGGCAGAAGAAAATATATGGTTATGGACAACTTGTAGAATGACTGTGTTTTCAACAATAACCAATAGGTTGATAAGAGGAACTTGAAAAATTGATTGCACAGCGTATCTGGGTTAGGATAATATTCGCCGTCTATCATTAGTGACGCAGGACGAGACCTATCTCGAGTTTGATTTTTATCAAACGCCAAAAATACTGGGGATGCTTAGAAACACTTGTCACGTGGGCTTAAGCTTAGCTAGTTGGGCCAATGGTTTCGATGGGCGAGCTGAACACACATTCAGTTGGCCCATTGAAAGATAGAAACACTTCCTTCGACATGTCTACGATAAGTCTATCCCTCTTATACCGCTCTTTGACCGTAGTGCTGCATATTCTAAACCTGGCGCAAACGTTATTGCTGGTAGCCTTGCGGTAAAGACGGTGTAAGTGTAATTGTTTGCGCATTGGCACTTCGAAGAAGAAGAAGAGGTTTATTTAGAAAGACAGAGAGGTCGCTCCATGCCGTTTGTATTTGAGTTCGCGAGAAAACCAAGGGGGATATCTGTTTGATCGATCAGCTTGTTTTCGGTAAACAAAGCTGTGTATGCCGGTCATCACAATATTAGTCAAAGCAGTTCAATCGAATCTAAGCAAAGAACGTCATCTTAGGCAAACGCAACAAAAATAGATACAAATAAAGATATGAGCCGTTGGCGTAATCAAATCGATATTTGTTTTTGTTTTTCATGGACGTAATTAGCACGTCTACGTTAACAGAAAATGGAACCTGCCATATATCGGCGGGAAAGACAGGATGGCTTACGATCGGAGTATTGTAAGTTTCAAGATTTGTAAAAGAACGTCCAAAGCGCTTCCACATCCGTTTTGAGGAATTTCGCCACGATAAAGGACATAGTAGTACAAACAAAATGAAGAGTTGATTGTCTTTTCGACAGCTGGACACTGAGGCTTCGCTAGACCAATTATCACATTAAAGTTCACGGGCTGACGTTTTTTTCGATAAACTAGTCAAAACCTGCCCAAATTCCTTGGGATTGAGAGACGGGTATAAATATTTATTTTATATTATAAGTTTTGTGGGTGCCTCTGCTTTTCACTTAAAGCCGAACTCATTCTTCACAACTTTTGAGATCCGATCGGCGAGGTACCGTAATGTTGTTGCGTGGGGCCGGAAGTACACCGCTACTCTACTTCTGTCCGGTAGCTCCGCTATTGCGGTCACGGCTAAATATAGAGTATTTGTCAGAAAAATACTCATAAGATGAGATACCACTTAGTAGCCACATTTTTTGTAATACAATGCACGTTGTAGTCTGCAAGCACACCCTTTCTGAGAACGTATCGGCCTTTTAGTGCGGAGATCCCTTACGTTTTGGTAGTAGATCAATAAAGTGTTGAGCTTCCCACGTGTCTGTATTTTCAAGTTCGTAGGTATTCATTATTCCTCGAAACTGACGAAAAAGATACCCCTCAGGCCACACTAGTGGGTCGTTGATATAACCAAATTCGTCGGCACCGTTTTTCTTAATGAATAATATATCATTGAACGAGTACAATGTAGCTATTCCTTGCACTTTCTAAATTGTCTGTTCCAACATTTCGAGTGTCAAGTTGGCCTTGCACAAACTTGTGAATACGTTCTTTCTTGCGAGTCACGACCCGAATACAGCCACGTGTAGATGTGATGAAAAAAAGAATCTAGTTATATTTACGCACGCGCCTGTACTTTGTGACTGAACACTTACATCTTAGTCTCTTGAAACACTATCTATGTTGCGGTTGCTCTTTTTTCTGCGCAAACACTTTTTAATCGGGTGAATCAACCGTGAAACAATACATGCGGAGGGCACTTCGAATGTTTCATATTTTGGTTAGCGCCACTACTCCGCAATGCGCATGTTTCGTATTTTGATTAGCGCCATTACCCCGGCGAGGTGTCAAGAGTCGAGGCAAAATTTACTGCTGTTTGCGCGGGGTTGGCTCGTTGCTCTGGTTGCGCGGGGTCTGTTCATTAAGGGCAGCGACGTGTTCGCCGTCTAACGAGGGAAACTTTCAGACTCTAATTTCGAGAAGCAAACGATGCTAAGTTGCAATATAAAGTAAAAAGCTTACTTTTTAATTTTATGGAATAAAACTTGCTGGAGGGCCGTTTTCTAGTTTTTCCTAAATGTTTCGTGTTATAGAAAAGTAACTGAAAAGTACCGTCGTCACTTTTTAAAAGTAACTGTAACTGTAACGAGTTACTCTTTTGCCGCGGTAACTGTAATGGTAACTTCGCTACTTTTTTCTGAATGCAACTCACTTTAACGTATTACTTTTCAAGTAACTTACCCATGACTGGCTCCAGCTAATGACGAGTAGCACAGAAGACTGGTTGAACAAATGCCATGTGCTTTGGGACAATGAGAAAAATGAAGGCCCGTGCTCTATAACCTAGCGTACGGCCCACTTTTAGGCCAGCACAACGAGTTTTTTCGTCCTCGTATAATTCGCTAGATTCTTTCCATTCTATGCACATCGATCGGCGTCTTGCGTGCTTGGTGGTAATTTGTGATTGTTGAGATGAATTTTGGTGTTCAAGACCCAACCCGCAGAAAAACCGATTTTTTTCTTTTTAATTTTTGCTTGTATTTTTAACGGACGCCACGTTGTGTATTTATTTACCGTGTACGACGAGAGTTGAGGACACGAATATGGCAGCATGTTTCCTTCCTTCAGCAGACTTCCGGTAGCTTGTTTATTTGCAATAACGCATCGTGGAACGACCGGGAAAGAGGATATTTCATCGACGAAGGAATATTGCGGTACGTTTATGAAAACCGCGGCGCGGTTCAAAACATCACATTCAACAAATGAACGCGGGTCTGAAGTAAGAAAATAAAACATGAAGTGCCCGGGGGTCAGCAGATAGCGGGCAGTCGCGAGCCTATTTACAAGCACACGGCGGTGATATTCATCGGAGTGTGTTTTTTCGGGTTCTGTCCGGTGGTTTTATGAACAAGGTTAAAAGTCATTTTTTGGCGTCACTTCCCTGGTTTATTCTAGTTTATTCGAGCGTATAAATTAGGTACATTTTCGTTTGACGAATAGTTACCAAAGTTCGCCGGCGTTCGAAACGCGAAAGAGGCGAGAGGCCGCTGACCGCTTAAGCATTATGTTCACACTTTTTAGTCGTGATTCATTCTTTGACGTTCGCATCGGAAAATGCCGCAACCTGATTGGCTGCAAAGCAATAATAGGATTTCAGGGACCCGCACTGCGTTTCTCAGGTTATGAGTGACAATAGTGAGCCCTCATTTGATGCCTTGACGTACGAAGGTTCCCAGAAGAAGCCGCCTCGAAACAAAAATTTCGCGCAGGGGAAGAGGGATGGAAGAAGGAACAGCGTCTTTCAAACAGCCGTTGTTTGGTATCAAGACATACCAAACTTACTTTTTGTTCTTGGAAAGCGCGCACATGATATTCATTACTCTATCATCTTATTTAAAGTGTCTTTTATCCAGTAAGATGCTCGCATGCCACTCACCGTGCAGTATGCGTATCGTGACATTAAAGGGATACTTCAACGAAATTTTAAATTTTCCCATCGTGTTCAAAAATAGGTTGAATATGATCCACAATATCCGTAAATGACAATCGCACTTTTGTATTTTGACCCTGATGGCTGTATTTTTTGTTATAAACGGCCCACTCTAGCAAGCGCTCGGAGAAGACCCAGCGGTGACCACGTGACATTCAACGCGATCGCGACGTAGGTCGTCTCGGGACGAGCAAAGCTACGGCGATGCTGACGTCGAGAGGATGGCCTAGTCGTTTCAGCCACCGAAGCGGCTGCTTTTCTTCGAATTTTGAGAGACGGGTTTATCTTCTATAATCTTGTTGGGGACAATAGCGACTTCTTCGACACACAAACGACATTCTCGGGAAGAGGGGAGTTCCTCATTCCCCTCTTCTTTCGTCGTGGCCGGAGTCGAGGCACTCACCGTCACTAGGTGTCAAGGTTACTATACAGGCATTACGAGCGAGGCGATAGCGACATCCACTAGGTGCTCTTTGCTAATCGTTTAACTCATTTTAAAATTCCTTTTCGAAACTTTTTTAACAAGATATTGGTATGTTCGATGTGATACTGCTCCTTTGAACACATATAGACCATAAAGGGCGCGCCGAAATTTCGTTGTAGTATCCCTTTAAAAGGATACTTCAACGAAATTTGAAATATACCCGTCGTGTTCAAAAATAGGTTCAATATGATCCACAATATCCGTAAAAGACAATCGCATGTTTGTATTTTGAGCCTGGTGGCTGTATTTTTCGTTATAAACGGCCCACTTTGGCAAGCGATCGGAGAAAGCCCAGCGGAGACCACGTGACATCCAACGCAATCGTGACGCAGGTCGTCTCAGGACGAGCAAAGCTACGGCGAGGCTGACGTTGAGAGAATGGCCTAGTCGTTCCAGCCACCGAAGCCGCTGCTTTTGTACGAATTTTGAGTGACGGGTTAATCTTCTACAATCTTGTAGGGGGACAATAGCGACTTCTGCGACACACAAAAGGCATTCTTGGGAAGAGGGGAGTTCGTCCTTTCCCTCTTCTCTCGTCGTGGCCGGAGGCGAGACACTCACCGTCACTAGCTGTCAAGGTTCCTAGACGGGCATTACAAGCGAGGCGTTAGCAACATCCACCAGGTGCTGTTTGCTAATCGTTTAATTTGCTTTAATATTCCTTTTCGTGATTTTTTTTAGAAGATATTGGTATGTTCGATGTGATGGTGCTGCTTTGAACACATACAGACCAAAAAGCAAGCGCCTTGCTTATTGTCCGATGTACCTTTTATGACTGGGGTGTTTGTGAGACGACGTGTTTTGATGCAATTCACTCGCCACACGGAGAATCTAAAGAGCAGGGCTGTAGAAGGGAGCAGTACACCGGACGAACTAGTTCAGTGGAAGGGCTAGTTATCCTGAAAAGATCAAAATTTCATTGTTTGGTCAGTTCTGTGTTTTCTTCAAAGTCTGTTCCGTTTTCTTTTGGTTCCAATTGATCCCGCATACTTGCTCCCCTGTCATCGTTTTGCATTTGTAAAGACATCTGCAATCATAGCACGTGGCTATAATGAAAACTGTTTGACCTAATTCTTACGTCCTTGTGTTTTTAGGTTTTCTCACTGAGTCGTCAACATCATTCATCTAAGAGTCCAGAAAAAAATTATAGCACAAAAGCAATAAAGATGCATGCAATAAAAATGGGAAGGAGAGATTTGGATGATCGAATGTGGAAACATCGATTTAGTAAAAAAAAACTATTGTTTGTTTTTCAGAATATGTTGTTTATTGTTTCACGCCATAGAAGCATTTTTGTTTGAAATAAAACCCACCTGTAGGCTCCACTTCTGACGCACTGATTAAAACTAATCTCTGCAGTGCGTGAATATTATAACTTCTGCAATAGTTTTATCTACTGGAATAAAGAATACAAGAATCATGAGGGAGAATGACATGGTCGGCTGGAATGCGTAGCCACGTCTCGAATCCGTCTGTGCGCTCTTGTCAGTGTATCATAGGCAAGCTTGCCGGTAACCATTGGAGCGAGGTTCTTTTCGCCGATATCTTCTGCAGATATGTGGGTCCAGCCTGCAACCGATAGTGCGCCAGCTCCGTTGTTGGGCCGGCAGTGTACAGAAAGCGGGCGTGAAGAACGGGTGAGTGCTAGGCTTCCTGACGTTCACTACTCTTTTACACTTTAAACAAGACTAATCCTCAAAATGATTCGTCGTCATTCTCTGGTTATTTTCATCTTTTTCATTATGTTAGAAGCTTTTTTGTTAAACATATCGAGCAAATAAAAAAAAAAACAAGGTCCTAATGAATGAATGCACTATGGTGAACTTGGAAGCAGTTTTAACCGGTTGTGTTTTATATATACTTCTAAGCCTGAAAGGACTTTTTTTTTTCTGCCGCAGAAAACTGAAGAGTCCTAACCTTTCTAGCTTTCACATATCCTACCGAAACCCCTTCAGTAAAGAAGAAGGGTTTCTTAGTCCATTTGTGATTCATTTGTATTTTTACGGTCTATTTGTGGTCCTCGTGACGATGAACAAACTTTTTTTTTATGTTCATGTTGCAGTACTGCGTCACTTTTTGTCGCAATATGCACAGACTTACCTTACTTTACCGGTAATCAAATCACTTGTAGTCGAATACGTTTTGGAGTAAATGTAACGATTAATACTTAAGTAATCGAGTAATATAATTGAATACTTTCGAAGTAAGAGTAATTGTAGCTGTGATCGATTACCTTTTTGAGTTACGTGTTGAAGACAATGATATGCCGTAGGTGCTGAATTATTCGATTGTGTTATGAGCGGATATTGAGACCAACCTAACGTCTCTCGACATGACCATAACAATAAAAAAGAAACTTAAATGCTATCGCGAGTTATATGGACGAGAACAAAATAATCCGGAAAGTACCTTAGGTGTGTTAGTTGATATTAGAGCAAAGAAAAAACAATATTGGTCATGTCAATACTGCCCCCCTTTTCGGCAAAGCGAAAATTGAGAAATTTATTAACTGGAGGAAATCACCTGCGTACCTGAAGATAAGTGAACGACTTTATAACCGCAGCAGTGGATTATATTTTCAATAGGGAAAAAAAAAGACGAGACGAACAGCCCTTAACTCCAGGTGTGTATTAGAAGACTTCATTAAATTCCCTATATGTGTAATCAAAACGCTTCATATTAAGCTGGCCTCTCCAATCACACGAAGAGATTGACACCGGTAATCCTCAAAAGTTTTTGACTTCTTAGTCAAACTGAAAATAACAATAATGTCATAAAATACGTGGCTACACTTTTTCTATAGAAAAAGTTATTTTTTTTACGGTTTTAGTAAACAAAAAACGAACCCAATATCCTGAAACATCAAAGGGTACAAAACAGATACTAGAGCCACATTCATTTTTGACAAGGCCCGTATGATAAAAACGTTTTACGCGTGGAACGAAGGAAAAGGCGATAGAAACCCTTTCGGAACTGAGTTTTCTGGCTCAGGATGACACCACAAAAGCAAAACGCATCACCATTCACGAAGCAGAATTTTTAATAAAACCTAGTTGAGTGTTGCAAGTAAACTAGACGTTCTTGCGGGGTGTTTTTGAGTACCCCAGGAGGCGTCGTTTTTTATCACTGAGACGTGGATATCCCGGAACATTCCTGATAGCAAGCCTGTCCCCTCTAACAACAAGATAATACAGAAAGAAGGGGACTGCACGCTATCAATAAGTACAACATATAAACTGAAATGGCTTCGCCTTAAAATTACTTTCGAATGTGCCAACTCCTGTTTCGAGGTTATGCGTTGTTTTAGATGTACTGGATATACAGGTATACAGGCGTCACGATACGCTTATTTAGTTTATTGACACCCCAGAACCGTTATGTATATATTAAAGTGAGCATATATAGTCGAAATATTACGTCAGATGACTTCAGTTTTAAAGGGATTAAATAAACTTTTCACTGCTGTGAGGGCTTCATAATTGCCCAAATAGTACTCGGATTATACGCTAGTAATAGCCTATAACTCATAGAGAACGCACGCGTACGCATTGTGGTGGCGAGGTTAGGCTACTACCAATAAGTTCTAAACATACACTTAAATAACTGATAAGTTGAAAGTTATTGCGTAAGTGCAAATCAAAGTTTCGTAGTTGTCCGTGTTTTGTCGACGGTGTACAGAGGCGTCAGAACACGCCTACTTACTTTTTTTAGATTCTGAACCGTTATGTATGTAACCTGAACATTCATTCAATAATTTGCTCATTTACCTGCTATATGTTTGTGCCAATCAAACATCTACGCGCCTTTTTAGTGCTGCACTACGTCATAATAATGAGGATTCATATATCAAGAACATGCCTTCCTGACATGTCAAAATGTCAGGAAGACGTCACCGCGCTTTCTAAGTGTTTGCGTCCAAAACTATCAATATCCAATTATTCTAAGCTGGATTTAAATGTTTTTAAAACCTATTGCGGACGGGTATTGGGATCAGTGTTGTATAAACAGGAGGGATAATAAAAAGGAACATACACGACGGGACCTTTGAGGAAGGCATAAACATACACAGTTCAAGAACGCTGTGCAATTAACAACACCATTGACAACCCTATGCAAAAAACATGCAATCACGCATCTTCTGTCTTTTTCATAAAGAGTGTAAGCCAAATGGTTACATACTGTCTTGTAATCAAGAAAACAACTTGAATTGTACTTAATGTTCAAAACATATATAAATAATTTTTATACCATATTACTCAATATTACAGGAATGAAATAAGATTGGCGCTGCTGTGAGGAGTCTATTATTGCCCCAGCGTTACTTGGATTCTGTGCTAGTTACAACGTGGGTCAGATTAAGAATGTACATGTTGTCAAGGGTCATCTTAAAGCTTACTGGACCTTGTTCTTCAAAACCAAAGATTTATCCCCCAATTGCAAGGAAGATCTGTTTCTGATGACACATGTGATAACGCAGTGATCCTGGCATCGAAGCAGTTACCAACAAACCGCTCGTCTATATTTTCTAAAGTGTTATGTTATCACAAAGCGGACGAGGATTGAATGCTTCATAAGCAACCATTCTAACAGGATTTGTGCCTAATCAACGATTTGAGTGATCACGAGCAAGGTGTATCAGCTACGTGACCTATAGTAGAACACTCAAAGTGGTGCCCAGAAAGGTAACTGAATCTCCTAAAAGCTGTCTCATCAAAGGCACAATTTTTGAGTTTTAGAAGACATGATCGTCTTAATTCAAATATAGTCTGGTGACAAGTTAGTTTTTCCCGTTTTTCTTTAAATGAATCACGGACAGCGTAAAACTGCCGGCTCAGTTAAGCACCCATAAAACTTACTATAAATGCACTAGGAAATGCTCAGAACATGTCCCATTTTTAGTCAAATATCGGTCGTATACATCTAAACAACCACGACATTTTGTTTTCAGACACATCTTTTTAAGCCACTAGTGCGAGGTGATGAATAGTTCAAGGCTTCCAGTAAGTTCGTAATATCTTAATTATACATTTTGGATGTATGATATAATCATTTATGACAAGAAACTTGCTCATGCCCAGTACGATTCCTGCGCAGATACAACAGATATTTCCTATTTAATGCTAAACTTATAGAGCAGAATCCGCTAGCGAATGTTACGCTATAAAAAAAACTATTTCTTGCGTATTTGTTTTACTTCAGATTTAGGCTGTGTTGAGTGAAACGCTGAAACTCTCCGCTTCCTCTGACACGAAGCAAATGGGAATAATATGCGCCTTACATTTTTATACCTGGGAGTATAAAATGCGTCGGAAGCAGTAAGAGGTATAGGACGCCCAAAAATAAAAAAAAAATAAATAAAACTACACTGGCACGTAAGAGATGCTCGCTCGTAAACTTTATTCACCCCAAGGTTCGCATGGCGGAACTCTGTTGCGCAATGCACCATGCAACCCATATATTTCAGCCAACACAAACTGGGTTTGAGAAATCGCACAAAAAAAAAAAATAGAACCGAGAAACTTTCGAGTCGTGCCTCCTTAGAGTACGCTTTTTGCTCGGTCACTCGTCGGTCACTCAAATTAATATTCCTAAGATAAACGCCGCAGCTCTAACAACGTTTGTGAAAATGAAGAAAGAACAAAAAGAGGTTAGCTTGTGCAAAATATTTATAATAAACCCGAAACTAGAAACAATATAGAACAAAAACAACAAAAAAATGTGGTTGTCCGTTTTTTTTTTTTTTAGTTTTTGCCAGATTTTAGTTTATTATGGAGATAGTGGCCACGTTAGGAACTCACCACTCTTGGCATAAAAGTGATCTGCTTAACAACAACATATATACATCTTGAGTAAAAGTTGTTTTTATATTTTAGGAATACATTTAAATGTTTCTTAACTCTTTCAAGAACATCCATTTTAAGCAGAATTGTCCCGCCATTTTTAGGCTGCTCCGAGTTTTCGACACCAGTTACTGCAGTGGCGCCATCTGTGAGTAGTGTCGTCAACCTGATCACTCTTTTTTTTTTTCCTTTCTTAATATCGGGGTTTTAGGCGAAAATGGAGTGGGGGTTTTAAATTTAGTTGTATTCCTTAAACCAGGGGTCTCCAAACCCCGGACTGCAGGCTAAATCGTGCCCGCGGCTGGCCGCAGTCGTTCCAATTAGGGATGCCGCGAACTTTTTTCGAATCGAAGTTTGGATGATCGAATCAAGCGGTTCGAAAGATTCGAAAGATTTCGATTTTTCGAATTTTCTACATCGTAAAATTCGACAGAAGTCGAATTTTCGAACTTGTTGAGCTAAGAAGTTCGACGCTTTTCGAACCGTCGAACTTATTACGCTAAAATATTCGATCTTTTTCGAACTTTCGACCTTATTGCGCTGCAAAGTTCGATGCTTGTCGAACTTCCGAGCTTGAGTGACCAAAAAATTTGATGAATTTTGAACTTTCGAATTTATTTATCAAGGAAATTCGAAAAGTTTCGAACTTTCGATCCTGAAAAGTCAGAATTTCGACGAACTTCGAACTTTGAGGGTAAAAGTTCGACGCTCGTCGAACTTTGAAAGACCAGCGGACGGTTTCATTTGAATTCAAGTAGTGAGTTACATTCGTAGTTTTTTTTTTCTCGAACTTTTACACGCGGTGCTGCGTTCCTTACGAAATACAATGGCGTTTGTTTCAATGTTCTGGCATGCTTAGTTTTAAAGAAATAAATTTCTCAAGGGGCGAGGAAGGACGACGGGTTTTTGATGATTATCGTTTGTGCCAGATTTGAAGCGCGCTGTAGCCGAAGCTATATGTGGTAGAGATGTTATACTTTTTTAAGGATGATCTATATATAGCCTAGGTAAGTGCCGTCTTAAGATGTGATTATGGTTATTCAACGTGAGTTTCGAAGAAATGTCCAAACATGTATCTACATGCAATTATGCCCTAAACTTTATATTAATTTTCATCAAAGTTGTTTGAGGTATCGCATTTAAATTAACATCACAGACAGTGCGTATCATTGCCATCTGCAAAATGCAAAATAATGTATTTATTGTTTTTTTCACGTTAAGGAATAAATTAACTCATGGGAGAAGATTTTTAATAGTGTTTAAGTTCAGCACGTCATTAAAAGAAAACTTTTTTTTTTTCGCTTCACGATCCTGGGACGTGTTTCTTGTAGCCTGTACAGATTTTGGTAAAAGAAAGTTGTTTCAAAGTTCTGAACCTCTGAATGCGCAAGAATACAACACTTCCGGCGAATTCTTTGTAGTTTTTATTTTCTCCAGCTTTTTATCCCCGCATTTATTCTCTCTCTCTTTTTTTTTTTTTACTTTTGGCACAGGTATTTAGGTCGAAAAGAACGTAACTTTGAACTTCCGAACCACTAAGCATGTGACGAGTAGTGCCTTCTGACAACGAGTTTCTAACATTGACCATCTACGCAATCTTTTATGCAGTGAGGAGCGACAGTAGCTATACATATGCATAAATAATTTCAGATTAAAATAAGCTCGACCACGCCCTCTTTCGCCGTATTGTTTTCTTTAACAGTCCGAAATATCTGGAAAGAAAAAAAAAACTGAAGCCCCCCCCCCCCCCCCCCCCCCCGCTACCCTCTTACCCCCCGTTTTTCCTCTTCCGACGCCACTTGTATGGTAGAACGCTCCTCGACCTCGAGTTGTGTCGGCTTTTTGCGAGGCGATTCCTCCGTCCCAGAAAATAAACCTCCAGGACAATTACAAACTTAACTTACTATATGCCAGCGTCACTCGGGCGGCGTTCGATCGGATTACTATCAGCGTGCAAGGGGTGGCGAGGTAGTTTGCCAGGTCGCTTCAAGGTTTTTCTGAGCCTCAACCTCCTGCTCGTCCCTGGCCCTTTCGAACTAGATGAGTCTCGTAAAACAGTGTGTTCTTGTGATCACTACTGCATGATGAAGGGTAAAGACCCCCCCCCCCCCCCCGGGCTGGCGGTCACAATTACTGATCCATGGTCACACGTCACTCTGCACTGGCAAATATTCCAGCACATCCGGGACACTCTTCGTCTCATTTAATTGCCTGACCAACTTCGCAGAATCTAGATATCACACCCTAACTTTTCTAAACTTGATTTTGTGAAAACCAGTGAGTCGTGAAAACGTTATTTGAAACAAACTGTGGAGAAACTCGAAAACCGGACTTCGAACTTTGAAAACTTGGACGAGAAAGAAATTCAAAATCTTCAGTTTTTTTTTTTCTTTTTTTTTTTTTGAATTTAGCGTTAAAAGAGAATCGAAACCTTTGAACTTTTCGAACTTTATGCAGAAAGAAATTCGAAATCTTCGAATTGTTCGAACTTCATGTCTATAAAAATTCGAAGCGTTCGAAGTTGTCGAATTTTGTTTCCAAAGAATTTCGAAATCTTCGAATTTATCGAACCTGAAGTAAAAAAATATTCGAAATATTCGAATTCGAAATTTTAGAAACCGTGAAAGCTTCGAACTTTTCGAATTCGAAACTCCACTGTAATCGAAAGTTGCGAATTTTTCGATTTCGAACCTCGGTCGGTACGAAAATATCGAAATTTTTCGACATCGAACCTCAGTTCGCTTCGCAAATATCGAAACTTTTCGAAATCGAACTTGGGGTGGTTCGCGACATCCCTAGTTCCAATAAAGCCCGGCCCGCGGCCTCCTTCCAGCAAAGCCGTTGCTCCCGGCGCAAAATAAAGGGGCAAACGAAGAAACGGCGCTGCAAGGCGCGCCAAATGCGCAAACGAAGATACCAAAAAAGAACGAGAGAAACTTCAGTGTAACGCGGGTCCCTTTGCCATACTATCAATTGAACACTGTCGTCACTAGCATCACCATCTTTAGTCTCCTGTTTGATATCTCTTTAAGTATGGTAACATTTCTTTGCGTTATGATGTGCACCGTGCTTAGCGTCTTTTGTCGACAACTATTTCATATTGGAAGCATTAGTTTTATAATTCTCATTAGCCTTTCGCAATGGGGAAATGTGCCGAATTCCCGATGCTCTTTGATTTATGCCTAATACATGTTTTGTCATTTTTTTGTGTAATGTCATAATTGGCTAAATAATAATAAGTTTTAAATTGGAGCATTGCAGTATATGCATTCCTGCACCATATGGTGCGGTTTTTAATACTTACCCTATCAATACATTTTGTGCTCAAATGTTTTTATAGGACGCTTAGTTTTTTTTCTCCTTCATAATTACTTTTTTCTTCCGGCGTTCCAGACTGCGACAGATCCATGGTCCGGCCCTTTTCCCCAAAGGTTTGACGACCTCTAGTGTAGCAGCATATGCCACTGTTGAGCACCAATATGGGACCTACAATTTTTTGTTACCGCAAAGATGCTGAATCAAAATTTAAAACGTAGATGTCGTATTCATCCAAAGAGTATAACCCCACGTACATACGCTCCTAATTAAAAAGATACTGAAACGAGATTTAAACTATACCTCTCACGTTCAGAAATACGTTAAACATGGTCAGCTAAATCTGCTTATCACAATCGCACGTTTGTATATTGAACGGTTAGTAATATTTTTTCGTTCGAAAGGGCCCATTCCAGCGAGCGCTGGAAGATGAGCCATCGAAGAGCGCGATGCACCTCGGGAGATGTACCTATAGACGTCACAGACATGGCATCAGTTCGTCCAGCACGGGCAAAGCCGCTTGGGGGCTTGCCTGGTTATGAATTTTACCGCTTGGTGTCATCGACGCGTTACAACATGGCCGTCTTGAGTTGCCCCTCCCCACTCCCCGCAAGAGTTGAATAGGCCGGGAGAAAAGGGAAATCCGGTTCGACAGGGCTCGCGCGCACGCAGCTTGCGACCGTACTTTCGCGGAGCAGCGCTGCATTAAAGTGCACGATGACGTAACAACAATCGGTTTCCATAGTTTAAATAATGTTTTCGCCTCCTTTCGAGTGAAAAATTGGTGTCTCCGTGGTGTGGCCAGAACGTGGTGGACGTTTAGACAATAAAATCGATGCTGGAATTGCGTTGAAGTATTTCTCTCAAGGATGACACGAATTGTGCAAAGCTACAAAATATTATATAACGGTTAAAATTCAGGTCTAGAATTTTGCTGAATATTTTCAGATACATACACCAGTGGTTGTACCTCTCGACACTTCTAATAATAGTCTTGTTTCAATTGATTTTTTTAAAAATAATTTTGATGGATAACTCAAAAATAAGGCTGAAGCAGTGGCGTAGCCAGGAGAGGGGATTATGGGGCTTCAATCCCCCCACTCCCCTGAAATCCAGCCGATCCAGTAATATGCCCATGCATTTGACCCCCCTCTTTCCCGTTCCCCCTTCCCCACCCCAAGTCATGAACACCCCAGCCACGTCAGCCCCCCCCCCCCCCCCCTTTTCATTCCCCCCAAAAAGGTTCCTGGCTACGCCACTGGGCTGACGCGAGACCACATCACTTCTTTCAGCCTAAATCAGTGGCTAAAACAGCGGGTGGATACCGAGAACTTCGTATATTAAATACGAATACCAGAGAAATATCTCTTACACCAAAAATAAACACAGACATACTAAAACACTAAAAATATATAGGTTCGTGTGAATGCTACAATTATGTTTTTTTTCCAGCAGTTTTTTTTTTCTTTTTTTAGTAGCTTACGTGTGTGTCAATAATTAATATACGTAATGTAAGGCCAGCTGAACTAAAAACATACACCTAAAACATAGAACACGAACATACACATGCTCAGCTAAAGCCTGTTACGTAATATACGGATCAGGATAAGTACGTCCAAAGTTGTTGGTATTTAAAATTGTTATCAGAAGGGCATAATTAATTGTCGAACATCTACTTAGTAAAACGCCGATATTATAAAACGCAGGTAGTTTTAATATCAAACGCAAGCAAATGTAAGTAAATTCGACAGAAACCTATTTTTAGCAATGCACGGCGAGTGAGGGACTGCCAGAAAAGGTTTCATTTATTTATAATCAAAACGAAAAAGAATA